TTAAGCAAATAAAGGTGAACGGTTTATCTGAATTAGCCGAATCTACAATAAATTGTATAAAAAAACTCCATGCTGGATCTGGCAAAATTTGCTGAGCACATGTAGTTGTCCGTGATATTTGCAGAATAACTGAACAAAAGTTTTTTGTGCCTGACTGGTAAACCCAGAAGCGAGGTCTGTCGAGGATGAACTGCGTCGCAGTCATTCGCCATCTGTCATCCAATCTAGGGACGGCGGTTTTGCACTTTTCACAATCTATTTCGCCTTTACTTAGGCTTTTTTATCGTGTTCACTATGCTCATCTTCTCTCGAAACCATTCTCTTTCGGAATATATGTCAAACTTCTTAATTTGATATTCTCTTACCTCGATGCTCGCACACAAATGGTTAAGATTTCCAATGCCATCTCCAACCCCACAGGTGGGAGGAATGGAGTCATTCAGGTAGTGTACTCCGCCCGCCCTTATTTTGCCTTTTTGCCAACTATGTACCAGATTTATTTAAAAATGGTAAGTCCTTCATGTATGCTGATGATCTGAAAGTTGCATATCGATAAAGCCGTCAGAACGTGACATCGTGCTTAAGCTCCTACGGGCCTTTACCCAGTGTTGCCACACATTGCGCCTTTCTATTTTTCAACCTAAGTGCTCGACCATGGTGGTTGGCGATGAACGCTAACCTCAACTATGTATTGACGATCGCGACATAAATATGTCTGGGGTTATTAGGGATCCGCGTGTATCATACTTCATGAGTCTTAATCTTTCGGTGCATTGCGCTCTGATAGACTTCGGAAAACGTAAAACTACCGGGTTTTTCCTCCGAAACTTTAAAACCAGCGATATTAGAATGCGACTTTATAGCAAGTACGTTAGACCTGAATTGGAGTACTGTTCGTTTTTATCTAGCCTCATGCGTGCTGCTGAGCTCAAGAAAATATAATCCGACGAAGAATTCTTGAACAAGAGAATTTTAACCCCGTAACACCGACATTTGTTTTGCCAAGAACGCTGCCGACTTACAGGCCTTTATCCTTTATGGTTTCGTAGATTAAAAAGGAGACTATTTTTACTATTATGATTTTCTATGATCGTACCCTTAACCTACTCACTGCTTTAAGACATCTTGTCCACCCCCGACGTAACAGTCACCATCAGGTCTTTTTATTTCTTCCAGTGGCACGTCCCGCTAAATACCGTCAGTTCTTTTCAGTGTACACAATTGCAATTTGGGACAAAATTCCCGTGAAGGCAAAAACTCTAAAATTATTTTTTGTTTAAGAGAACTATTACTCGTTTTTTACATTCGGAAAATCTGCCACATATTTTAGGTGCTGAATCCACCGGTCGAATATACCGCAGTGATGACTTTCGTGGTCTCTGTTCCCTATAGCCGGTCTCACAGGGAAAAATTCTTTGGCCAACAGCGACAGCTGCTCTTCAGTGCTTCTGTTTGGTCCAGCACCAACTTTTTTAATTGCCGTCATTTTATAGTCAGCAGTTTTTTTTCTCCTGAATCCTCTAAACTCTAAAAAATCACCATCATCATTATTTTTACGTTTTGTGCCAGGTTTCTTTTATTGATGGCCGCCCTGCCAGCATCAACCCCTCCTAGCCCCGCCTAGCCCCATCGAAAATGGCGGGACTAGAGGGGGCTATGACGGCCTAGGCGGAGCTGTGGAAGGAGCTTAAATTATTTACTTATGAGTACAAGCAGATCCGAGGAGAACTCATGCAGGTGAAGCGTATTGTAAGGAACCGGGACTGTGCCCTTAACCTCGGTAATTTCTTCACCCTGGCCACAAAAACAAACCTGCCTTGGAATTCTCTTAAACTAAGAGGATCTCGATGCCGCCTGGATGTTCGTTGGTAGTCTTTTTCGCGGCGAGTCGTCGGTGCCTGGAAGGGGCTTCCCGAGGACGTAATAATTGCGGATTTAGACAAAGTGTAGATGTACATTTACTTGAAAAACACTGCTTATATGGACAGAACAGCCCTGATCTACCAAACCTACGTCTTGTATACGCTTACCAATAATAGGGACCATTTTCATCTCATTTTGCCGTAATCGCCTGCAACTCAGTGCCCTCGAGGTTCGCTCCTGCATTTGTAGAGCCGACATTATATAATATACACATATTACTGACAACATTTTAGTACCGTGTTTATTTAAACGTAGATATTCCATATATCGTTCTCAATTGGGTTTTCAAATGCACTGCTTATAACACTTAGAATAGACTGACTTATTCGTCGAATAAAAGGATCGATATAATAAATGCCGCAAACGAATGCAGGTTGCTAGCACGTCTTTCGAATGTCCGCAGACGGCTGATCCCATTATATGGCGCAAGACGTCTTATGGGTACATCCGCAGTAGGAGAATATGAGGACGAAATTGCGTGTTTAAAGGATAGATCCCAAAAAAAATTATTCGAGGGGCCACAGAAAGTATAGTCACTGTGCAAATTTTTTCGATCGGTTCAGTTCAGTTCAGTTTATTGAGGGAAATAGGCGTAAGTCTTTGAGTATCCTATTTGCAACGTAAAATAAATGTGTGGTACACAGATAAATGTTCCGGTTTTTGCACTGCAGTCCTCAGAATACAGTCGTGAGTTTGAAATGGGCCAAGACGTTGGGGAATGTCAAATGGGTCATGATACTGCTTCCCTTGAAATCGCTGCGTTTGACCTCGAAGAGTAAGACGGTCCTCAGTCAAATTTAGCGAGAGAAGTTTCCTGGAGCCGATGGGAAGCCCGGACTGATAATTAAGGAACTATCTGCGAAACAGAAAAACCTCTATAAACTCTCTTTGAGCTGCCAATGAGAACAGGGAGACTACCTTCACAGTGGAAGACAGCCAAACTCACGGATGGAAGCGAATATGCGAATCCCAGGATCTTGTTGTAAAAAAGATGAACACAAGATCTCTGGGACAGAGATCGTGTGTTCATCTTCTATACAGCTAAACTCGTTTCCTTGCATAATGGAGGTGGCAGTATGGTAGGATGCGACTTCAGGCCTTATAGCTTGACTTGCCTCCGAATCAAAATAATACAAGGAAATGGCATCTTACTGAATTTTCAGGATGGTTTCACGTTAAGGCAGTATGCCGTGACAAATAGTTTGTTCAGGAAATGTGCGTTTGACGAATCCAAACCGAGCGACCTCGAAGTGGTCGATAAAAAACCCTATACCGTGTTTCTGAGGCGAAAAATAGTATAAAATTGAAACGGCAACCGTTGTAAAAACCATTAAAGAATACGATAACGTTCAAAACCTTGTCAGTTGTATTTACCGGACTGAAACTCTACCGGGAAATGCAAAATATGGTGCTGGATTGAGTCGTCCTGGCAGCTTTTTTTTAATTCTCTCCACGGTTTATGGCTTCTCTCTTGTTTTTTTTGACGACGGTATCCCCCTCAATAGTGTAAATTGCAGGGTTCCGTAAAATTGAAATTTACGGCTTCTTTGCCTTTTAAAGCCGGCATTCGAATCATTGCTGCTGTTTTATAAAAGGGCATATATACGGAATTGGCCTAAGCAAAATCTGATTTATCTTTATAATTGCAATTATAAGTGTCTGTCTGTCAAGTATATCTCCAGAAGTTGTCCTATTGGTAATTTGGTGCTTTTACACGCCATTTTGGCAGCGCCGCCTTCAAAATCCTTTTTCTAGCTTTTCGCGCTTTCGGACTTTCACACTTTCAACTATTGTACTTAAGTAATGCTGATTTACGTCCGAACCGCCATCTTTGCCTGGAGCACATGCTTCACTCGAACTAGTTTCAAATTCGTCAATGCTGCAGCTTCATGAAGCATATCCCTAGTAGCAATTCCACAGCGAGGTGACGGCGCCTCGCTGTGGAAAAGTCGCGATACAATGACCGATTTATAGCGGATTTTGTCCATGTGGTCGCTATGGAAACAATGGCGAAAAGTCGCGATACGACATTATGCAGCTGCGGGACGGCATTCCATATGGAAAGCAGCCTCATGCTCAAATCTGCGTCCTCTTAACGATTAGAATTGATTTGCCATTTCCGCATCGTTTTGGGACATCGTAGCAATTGGCTCTTCTAGTCGAGAACCTTGTCTCCGTATGATATTATAAGGCGCGCACTCTCCACCTGCCAGACCTAAATACCTACGACGCGCAAACAGTTGCATCCCTTTAATTATGCCATGGCTTTCCGACGGTGTATCATGGTTTCTCCCGTTAAGCCGTGTCTTACATATGCCAGCATCAAGTCCGTCGTTTATGTCTGTAAGAGTTGAAGTAGACCAAATTTTAAAAATTTAGATTGCCATTTAGTTTAAAGCGGTTAGTACATATTTACTCTGTTCCGTTTGCTCACTGGGGTTGACCTAACCTGGACACCCGTTAGTTTAGCCATGACTCACTCACCGTTGAAGTGGCATCCTGTTACTTTAACGAGACTGCAATACTTCTCTTTGTTCAACGTCGCCATGCTACACTCTCGTAGCATGACAATTAAAACAGCTTTTTCTGCTCACTGATTGCAACCCAGACTGCGATTGACTGCCAATAAGTGTCTCATTAGGTTCAGCTGATGTTGATGGTTCTAACGAGCTCTCATGCTGTAGCGGCGGTTGTTCTCTCCTGTTAATTGCTTGAGTATCGTCGCGTTTTAGTAGTTTTATTGGACTTTTTGTAGAGCGGTGGTATGCATCTTTGAGCTAAAATCATTTAAAGGAACTGAAGAAAGTCGCACCTTTCGTCGTCCACATACGTGATAAAAAGTAGATTCATAGAAGTTCTTGCTCCACGGAAAGTTTTGTGTTAATCGAGATATCGTGACAAGTTAATCAGCAGCTTAGAAGAAACCGGCGAAGGCCTTTAGGAGACGTCAGTTCGGATTGAAATTCGACGACTTTGTGGCAGAATACTTTAAACCTTTCACCACATAGAACTGCCACCTTTAACTGCAGGAAATGTTCGCACCAATCGGCGTATAAGTGGATCATAATTCGTGGTCAATGTATTCTTCTAAGGAACAAACTGACTTATTAGCCTGGTGGAGTGCACTCGGCTTCGTCTCGATTAAGTCGGCGTCGGGATGGTTTGCTCGTATCCCTGTGGAAGCTCACCGTCTTCAGTATGGTCAAGAGACGTCTACCGACAGAGTCGACTTGGTAACTGTAGTGTCGTAAGATTCTTTTGAGACATCCTTATTCCGCAGAATTCGAGACGCAGACAATCAGTGGGCATTTGCGCCGCATTGATAACCCTACAAGTTGTCATACTGTGGTTGCCAGCTTTACCACGTACGAAGTGCGGTTCACAAACATAGGTCATGTTGGCGTTTTTATATCTGTGTTGACTGTCGATAAAGGTTATTCGTAAGTGACAGTTTAAGTGGCTTTGACTAGATGTTGAACCCTCCAATAATAGTTATGATAAGTACTTTCCTTCATGATGTTGATGGCGATTCTTGGTATTGTGCGCATTGTTGTTTCTACTTTCATGTTCTGCTTATTGCTCTTTAACATAACCTGTTTTTGAACCCGTGAGTGTTCCATGCTTGTTGGTAATTTAGCTACGATAATAGAAGTTCTTCCTCTCTTCCCCCCCCCTCCCCCGATAATCCTGTTTTAGCATTTCCTGATTACAGTCAAGTCTTCTATTGCATATTGCGACTAAGGTTTCATCTTCTGGTGGTGCAAGCATACTTTATTGTGTACATATGTGGAAATTTTACAGCCCATAAGGACCCAGACATATGCAATGGTAGTTGTTTTTTGCATTTCCCCAAATAACCTCAACAGTTGGTTTTAGTGATCGGAGACTTACATATACCCGACCGTAAATATTACATTCACCCTGCGTTCAAAGCACTACTTGCCCCAGGCAAAATACAGCACGTCTTGTGCACCGGAAATTTGTGCAGTCAAAGTGTCTACGACCAGCTCAAGTGCATTTGCGCTGACGTCCATGTTGTTAAAGGTGAATTTGACGAAGTAAGTCACTTCGTTTAGTTTTTCCAGATAACATTTCTACCAGTTTCCCTTTCCCGAAACCAAAATACTTACCGTTGGGAGATACAAAATCGGACTGACGCATGGACATCAGGTTGTTCCGTGGGGCGACCGCGAAAGTCTGGCTATGCTCCGAAGACAGCTCAATGTAAGCATTCTTATCTCCGGCCACACTCATATACCGGAGGCCTACGAATACGATGGTGGGATTTTCTTGAATCCCGGATCAGCCACCGGTGCTTTCAGCCCTTTGAAAGCGTGAGTTTTTGCTCTTTCCAGGCACGGACTGTCTTCTTTGCTCTTATAGCGGTAGTATTAACAAAAAGTTTTGCAAACTTGAGGACTGTTCGCCTCTGTTCATATGGAAACAGGTTCAGTTGTTGGTATAGGTTGGATGTTCGTATCGTTTTCTTCTGAACTTATGTTGATGCGGTGTTCAGTCGTCAGCCACGAACCTACTGACGACACTGCCTTTTCAGTCGACCTGATTGCTAGAATTCACATATTTGACTGGGACAAATAACCCGCGCCCCTAATGACCTTGAAATATGAATGCGATACTGCCTTACCCTCCTCCGGATTGCCTTTCAACTGAATCAACGCAGTTGTGATGTACTACCCTGTGATTCTCGACTGGGCTTCGGGAGTATTTGGACGCTATCGCAACATCAGTATCGACACCAGCGTTCAGGACTGCGCCTGTTTACAGTTGCAACTCTTCCGAACTGAAAATAACGAAAGTGTAGAATTGGAATGGCGCGTTCATCATTGTCTCGGAAACCTACGGGCACAGTATCCGAACTGGGCAGTACACTCTAGCCACGACGACCTGGCAGAATCACCCGGCTAATTTAAAGGTGGTGACTCGGGCGCCCTGGACTAAGGGATGCCGCGGTCACTGTTCTGAATCGTAAACCAAGAAACCAATGGCTTCTAGCTACGATGAAGCGCTGATGCCCATGATTTCGAGAACAGGCAAATGGTGCCTACTTTTGAATGCAATGCCCGCCCGAAATGCATGTTGCCACGCATTTCGCAGAATAAGGGCTTTAATCATACATACCCCCAGTCGTGGTAGGTCACAAAGAGCCATTACCCTTATAAGTATGCAATAAAGTATTACACATCTGTGACATGACCAGCCAGACTATAAGGAACTCATCTTTGTACCTTTTAAGAAAGAGACGGAAACCGCACCTCTTCAAGTTTTCAGTAAAGGCTTTTATTGCCTTTATCACACATTAAAGCTCTCAGTCTATGTCAATAATCCATGGTGCTCGGTGTCAGGTCCGACTCTTGACTTCAAATGTGCACACAAGCCATTACACCATGCAACAGGCAATATTACCTTGTCGTAGATAATATTTTCTCGTCGATGAAGTCTTACCTCCTGTATATAACCGCGAACAATCCAGTCGTATCTCGTAGAGCAGCAGAAGTAGCTAAGCAACACCTAACGGCACGATGTGAAGATTAGGCGAACTACAATGGCAGATGAAACCGGGGGGGGTGGGGGGTAGAACTACAGCACGGCTTGTCCTCGTCTGAAGCCTGCGAACTAGCTCTTCATCCCCATTCAAATTCGGGCTACTTTATGTATCGACCTCTTCCCGGACTCTGCTCATCAATTTTGTGGAAAATTCTCTGTTGCCGAGACGCAGACTTTAACCGGGAAATCAATAGACTTCCCTATTTGTTGGATTGTCGATTCTTTGGTCGATCGTATTGCTGATACCTGCGGTTGTAACCAGATGCTTGTCGTCAAACGCGGCGTACAAGTGGGGTCACACGGGTGGTGGTGGTGGTGGTAGTACAGCAGGCTTAGGTGCATACAGGTGCTACAGCTCATTCTCCCCCAGACGCCGAACGAAATGACGGCGTTTTATATTTTGAACCGTAATCAACTGGTCTGGCCAGTGGACATGCGGACCAGCTCGCGTGCGTCGGATTGGGTGTGGTGTCTCAACAGTCCGTTTTAGGCACCTCACCACCCTGGGTATGAATGGTGCGTAAAGAGCAAGTCGAACTCCGAAAATTCCAGTCGCCGTTGGACCAGACGAATTCGGTATAGGGATTCGCCGTGTCCGGACATTACGATGGGATGGGCCGTGAAGGACACCAAAGACTTGCCGCCTTATTGTTATGCAATCAAGGGGGCGCTGTATGTCGGCTAACTTGTCATAGCTGGTGGTTCCAATTCCGGTTCGTTGTCACCTAATTTGGCCGTGATCATTGCTTTAAAATCAATAGACCCTGCATGCGTGACACCATCTAGCTCAGTGCGCGATAATGCATTTGTAATTGTACTGAGGTGTGTAATCTAGTTGTCGAACATCGTGTGGGAAACGGCTTGACCGGAAAACAAGGTTTATGAACGTTCGGCACGACAAACCATCGATTCCCCAAGAAGTTCCAGAATGACTTGCAATCTCTCTATGTGGTATGAGTCACGAATTATTCGGCGATCACTGTTCGTTATTTATCCGGGACTGTTTCCGTAGACACTAGAAGGGTCGTACCGCTGTCCCCAAGTATATGCGGTCCAAGTCGTTGCATCACATCTACCTCTGCATCCTGTCCCATAAGTGTTTACAGTTTCTGGAACGGTCTGCATGCCCTTAGGTGGAGTTCAGAGGACACAAGATAAGAAGACTGTTTGCTCACAACCTAAACGCCAGGCCTCAGGAGCCCTAGTCTTCTGCATCACAATCATCAATATCGGCTACGAGCTGCGCTGCAGAACGCCGGACCCAGTCTGTCACCTTTCAAACAACCGAGCATGACCGCCTGTCGTATGACTCTGGGTCCTCTAACGGATAGGTCCTCTCCTGCTTCGGATTCGTACGCTGACTAGTCTGTCGCAGTGTTTTACCGACGCAGGCGGCTGGTAGACGAAATTGATCCGGCATAAACTTGTGCCCCCAAACAAACGCACCAGAGTCATCAAGGGCGACTTGGTGTCACTATATCGGCATCTAGCGCGGACCATTTGATCAACTAGATCCAGAATCCATTTCCAAGTCTACATGTTGTCGCTCAGCTAGCCTCCCCAGAGCGCCTGACAGCATGCGTTCGAGCATATTCCCAGTGCTACTGTTTTGCGACTGAGTTCATTTTCACTCCCTCTTCCAGGTCCCCACAGCCGACCTTCATGCTACTTGACATTCAGGAATCCTCGGTCAATCTGTACACGTACCGTCTGGTTGGTGACGAGCACAAAGTTGAACGAATGGAATTCCCCAGCGCCGCCTGAATATCCAATCGACGGGAGCTAGCCAGTCCAACGCCCTCCGTAGAGCCCATTTGCTCTGGAGAGGGCTGATTGATTCCTTTCTACGACACCTTTCTTCATTTGAGTCACTTTGATTTACTGAATAAATGAACCTTTTTTCCCCGAATCTCCGCTCGATTTGCATACATCAGAATTATGGCCTGGACCTTGGCATTACAGAAAGCCAATTCCTGCAGGTCTAACTGAAATCGCGAACAGAACCAGTTCTTGCCCACTGGGTGGGTCTTTGTATTACCTGCAGCACGATGATGCACTAAGTTCTACGTAAGCGACTCTAAGTTTCAATCTCCGACCAGATTCTACTATTCGACGAGACCACTCCTTAAATTTTATTTGCAAAATGCCGGCGGAATTAGTCCCCAGAAGTGTTTTACTTACAGGAGAAAGAACGGTTTATTGAAGTATAGCCAAGTAATAAAACATCATACAGTGGTTCTTGAACATCACAAAACACTAATGTACAGCGCATTACCGGCCAGCGCCCAGCGGAAGTCCCAAGTAGTGGGTCCAAGACACGAACTCCTGTACTGTCTCTGCTCATGTTCGTTTGAGTTGTTTTTTTGCAATAGCCAGTCGCTGCTTATGGGCTTGCAGCACGAAGGGCCGCTTCCAGGTCTTTTCGGAGGATGGAAACCCGGGCACGAAGATGTTCCAGTCTCGATCTGTTTGAAGGATACAAACAAAAAAAGTGTGTGACTTTTGCACCACAGCCCACGTAAATAGCAAATTCTAACCGCGTTAGGAGTCTAAGGTCGACCAAGGTATTTTTTAATTTGATTTCGACGATCCGGCTTGGAAATTCGCAATGCGGAAGAAACCCACCGCGGAGATCGCTGATCATATGGAAAAAACTTTTGAGCTCAACTAAGACGAATTGGTCTTCAGACACATACGCCATTGCTCCTGACCTACTAGTTGTTTCTGTGGCATACGAAGGGTCAGTTTTCGAGAACTCCAGAAGGGGGTAAATGTGTTGACTCAAACAATGCTTGAGAGGGCGTGGACCTACGATTGCCCAGATGACACTCCAATGATAATTTCGCTATAAAAAGATGAACAATTGCGTAAGGATGGAGTATTCAACAATTCAAGTTCGTTGTTCTTACCAAGAGAGAATTTTACGTCCTTGGCCTCGACGACGGGAGAGCCTCTGTGCATGGCAAGTCGGATGGCCTTTTCTGCAACGTTTTCCACAAACTCCTCAGACAGTTGCATCAACGCCTGCACAGAAAGAAGTGGAGGGTTCGTATATGTGCATATCATACTTATGGCGGACGGAGTAGGGACGCTGGAGTGACCGCTTCTGGTTTATCAGGCCTAGTTAGCGATACCTCAATTCTGCGTGTTGGCGCTGGGGTTCCTTGGGTTTGGGTTTAAGGCTACTGTGCTAGGCCAGCCTCGTCACTTAGCGTAATTCTTCGACTGAGTAAGCCCCAGCTTCCGCGCTTACACTTGTCCGTCGTCTTCCGGAATGACGCGGTAGATTGGGACCTTTTAATCTGGCCTTTGGCCTAGATAGTTAAATCGAGATTTATAAATACGCATCGGCTTCCACAAGAGGCTAGACGCGACAAGGAAAAATACGAGTAATACTCGCCTATTATGAGCATACTCTTACTGCATCTTCACTCAGAGAAAAGTTATCATCCTTCTGTCATCTGTTCCGGCTCCTGTCAAGGCGCTGTTTGACTTCGATAAGGTTATCTATAGATATACAGATACTACAGTATCAGATAAGACGGTAGGTCACGTCATTAGAAGCCGACGACTTAGAACTTCCAAAGCCATACTCTTCGCCATTTCACGATCTTTGAGGACAATTTTTCTGATGGGATGTGGGCGCTGGGAAAAATACACTTTTTGTCGCGATTTTAGAAGGATTACCAAGGCCTAAAAGACAAACTACCTAACAGAACGCAAACAGCCGTGGTTTTCCGACAGATGGGTGGGAGGGTCATGCATGCGGAGTTATGCTTTATCACATTTTCCTCGTATAACTACAATAATGGGGGATGGGGGCGGGCGGTCTATAATAAAAGCCCTGAAAGCTTAGGTACCACCCCAGTGAATGCTGTATGTACCCAGGATTCTCCTTAGCATCAAAAACTACCAGAATTTATGAAAAAATTATAGTCTGGAGCAAGGAGGAAGTAAAATATCCATGAAGGTACCTCTTCCGTTTCGTCGTCTAGCTGAAGATCTGG